CAAATTTGGGGAAGGGATATGGGGCAAAGGTCAGGCCTGGGGGTGCGTTCCCCCCACCCCAGCACCGATGCACGCCTGGCAGCCAAATCCCAGCCGGGCGTCCTTGTCTCACGTGACTCGGTGGTGCCCCAGCGCAAATAGGGAAAAAAAAGGGCTGTTTCTAAAAAAAAAAAAAAAAAAAAAAGGCATGATAAAAGGGAAATAAAAGCTGAGGAAGGGCGGTTTTGGGGGGCACACACAGCCATGAGCCCCCCCCCTGCAGACAACTGGACAAACCCCAGGGAGGGGTGGAGGTATAAGGACTGGTCAACTCGTTGCACTTTTGACTGTGGTTTGGGGGGTTACGGGGAGCGTGTCACCCTCCTCTCCCAGTGCCAGCCCCTCGCTCGGGTTACCAAAATGTTTTGAAATTGGAGTTTCCCAGGCCAAAAAGCTGCAGGGGAGAGGGTGGGGGGTCTCACTGTCCACCTCCCCCATGGATTCCTATTTTTAGGGTTGCACAGTGACCCCTCGGGCCCCAGGTTTACATCATGGCATAGCCATGGCCAAGCCACTTCAGTGATTACTGGTGGGGGGGAACCCCCAAAGTCACAAACTCCCCCCCCCATGGCTGCCCCATCCCCAATATCCCCCCCAAAATCACCCCCCTTTGATCCCCAAAGGCAAGGGAGAGTTAATGGGGAAGGTGGGTGACACTGGGGGTTGGCCCTGTGGTTGTTTATTCCTTGTCTAGACTGGGAATATCTCCAGGATCCAGGGATAAACAGGGCCGGAGCGTCGGGACAGATAATTCACGGTTGAAGCCATGAATGTGCCCCGCTGCAGGGTTAATGCCGCTGGGGTTCAGCGAGGAGCCAGGGTGCACGTCCTCCCCTTCCCTCCTCCCTCTTCTCTCCAGCCTAGGTATCTCCTTCTCTCTGCCCCACAGCAGAGCTGCGGGCTCCAACATCACGGAGGGGGAGGAAGAACAGCAGCCCCCACCACGGGAATTTGTTGTAGGGCCAAATCTTGAGTTACCAATGAATATTTATTTGGGGAGGGGGAAAGGAAGCAGATGTATATACATATACATTCAGTCACGCACGTTTCCTCCCAGAAAAAGGCCCCGTGAACATATATTACATGAGAAGGTCTTCGGATTATTATTTAAAAGCTGGGGTTGCGCCCCAAAGGGCTCGCTGTAGAGGGCAAGCGGCGATGGGTCCTCGCTGGCCTCGGATGCAGTGAGCCAAGAAGATGGGGACACGGTCGGTGGCAGCTATGTGACAACGTCCCTTAGGACACCTGAAGAATATCAGACTCGATCTCTTCTCTCCCCCAGCACATAGGGCCAGCGTCCAAACCTCAAACCAGCTTCCGAGATCTCCTAAAACCGTGCTGGGGTATTTAAGGCCAAATTTTTGGCCCCGGTCCTTCTTCCTTAGCCTCAAATCTCATCGACAGGCTGAAGGCTGGGGAATGGTTTTGTGATGTCCAGAGGCGCGCGGCCCTGGGAAACACCAGGAGAAGGAGGAGGAGAAGCAGTGTCGTACTCGGTGATTGTATTAGCAAGGAGAAAACATGCACAGCAGCGATTTACTGTTCCCATCTCGCCACCTCCGCATCCCTACCCTGTTCTAAAATGAACAAGTCCTCGGTCCCGCTCCCTGCCACGACGGGGGGATGCTCATCCTCAGCGCACCCCGCTGCCACCCTCTCCCTCACTACTAGTGGGATATTATTCCATGAAAGGCAAATTATTTTGCCCCGTGGCAGCTGGATGACGAGGAAGGCGCAGGCTCGCCTGCATGGCTGTGCAAGGGAAGCGGCCGAGCTCGGCCTCGCCTCCAGCGTGGTGAAGTGTCCGGTGGCTCCCCAAACGCGCTGGACGTCCCCGACTCGGTGGAGAGCGTGGTGGGGGACGGGGTGCAGGGTCCACGCCCGCAGGCACGTTCCTTGGTAGGGACCAAGCGATGGCAGGAGGGTTTGGGGTGCCAGTTGGCTGCGGGGCAGCCAGATACAGGTCCTGCTCTCCAAAAATGGGCCCCCATCAGTCATCCTTCCCCCCCAGCTAGGGTTAACACCAGGGGTCCCGCTCTGCTCGCCCGCGGCAGAGGCTGTCGCTGCGCTGCCAGGCGCTGTCGATGAGGCTCTGAGCGTCTTCGCATTTCTTCTTGATGGCGGTGTCCAGAATGGCCTTGTGCAGGAGGTCGACCTGAAACACATACACACACATGTGGGGCAGTCCGGAGGGGAACGAATGACAGCCGCTTCTCCCCCTTGTTGTAAAACCGCCTCAAAAACAGATGGGCAAATTGCCTGTATCATAAATATGGGTGATGGAGGGGGACGGGGCTGACCCAAGTTCCTCCCCACTCCCCTCACCAACCCTGGATGCTCATGGCCCGCTTTGCCAGGGGACTCAAGCTCTGAATCTCACATCCCACAGTTATATGGACACAGAGGAGCTCCATCGCTCTCCTGCCCTTTGTGGGAAAACTGGGAAAAATTCACCCATGCCTTCCTTGGAGGGCCCCGTTCGCCTTTCCTGACCAGAGGAAAGGTGTGACACAGCCTTGCATGCTCACCTGGTAGATGTTCCTCCATGCGGCGTTCAGCGCCAAGAGGAACCTCTCCAGTTCTGTAGTGCAACTAAAATAGAGGACCCAGGGGGGCAGGAACTGCTTGCTGTCCTGAGCAAACTCCTAAACACCAAGAGAGAGGCCAGGCATTACCATTGCGGTCCTCACCCAGCCCCAGGCCAGCTGGTCCCGAAGCACCACACTTACCAGGATACAGTACTCCTTGCCGGCCTCCGTGGAGATGGCGGTGATGTCCGTCAGCTCCACAGTGCCCAGCGAGCGGAAGAAGCTTGTCTGGCAGTCCTCGTGGCAGGTGAAAGCCTTCTCATCCGTCAGCACGAGGCAGCAAGGGACGCAAGGCGTAGGGGCGACACCCTGGGGGATCACCTGCATGGAGAGGGGAAGGGGGGTGTTAAAATCTGGCATGAAGGAGCCCCATCTCCATGGGGTGCCCCACGGGGAAGCCCTCTTGGCCCAGGAGAAAACTGCCTGCTCCATCCCTGCCAGACATCCCCGCTCCCTTTGGCAGCTCTGTGCTGGCTGGGCTGTGCCCCAAAGGGGCTCCAGGCGAAGGAGGGGGTCAATGCACCCGTGCTTGGGGGGCCTGTCCCTGGCTCACCCCTTTGGAGACAGCCTGGCAGAAGTACTGCATCCAGTCTGCCATGTCTTCCTCATTCTCGGCGCTCAGCTCCAGGGAGGGCCGGTCTGTCAGGATCACCTGGAAGGAGTGGGGCCGGTCGGTGGTGTTGGAGCGCCGGCATCCCCCACACTGCTCGCCACTGGGAGAGAGGGGGGAGGATGGAGATCAGCAGGACAGACTGGCCAGCGTTAGCCTGAAAACAGCCTCCGTCTGCCCTCCCTGCACTGCATGTCACCCCTTTTCCCCACAAGTGCTCGTTCCCATCCGTGACATCCCTTAGAGTTGCTCCAAGGCTGGCCTCTGTCTCTGCACATCATGGTAGAGCCGGAGCTGAGCATGGTGGGTTTGTGGAGGTTGCCCAGCGTGGCTCTTGGAGGGGTACGTCAGCCCTTCAGAGGCAAATTCCCCATCAGAGGGCGGGCTTGGCATGCAAAAACCAGGAGGAAATGAGCCCATCCATGTCCATCTACACGCATCAGAGCCAAAGCAAATAGGCATCTGTACCCAGCCAGGAGCAAGCAGGGAGTCCTGCAGCATGGACTAAATCATACTTTGCCCCAAAACACCTCCCTGAACATCCCAAGGAGCTCCTGATCCTCAGATCCCCGCCAAATCTGGGCGCCGCATCCTACCAGCCGCTTACCCCATGTTGATGGAGAGCAGAGGGGTGACGTCTGTGCGGTCTGGGTACTGGTACAAGATGCCATTGCTGCCATTTGGGAAGATGAAAGAGGTGGTAACTGGAGTCAGCTCGGCTCCGGCAACTGCACAAACACCCTCTGCCTTCGGTCTGCACAAACAGCCACTCCTGCCCTGCCCTCCACCCACGCAGCCCCGTGGGGTTACGTTCCTGCTGCTGGGCAGCCACAACTGGTAGCTTTAGCCTCCCAGGTGACAAGATGGGTTCTCTCCATCTCCCAAGCAGCTCCTGGGCAGCAAACTGGTCCCAGCACCTTCTCCGACAAGCCCTGGCTGACCCCAGTCCCGACCCATAGCCCCAGTGCCCACCTGAGCACCACAAAGCAGGTCTTCCACTGCTCCTTGCCCAGGTAGGAGGTCCCCGCCTTGTAGTGCAGGATGCCGTCCTTGGTGACCGCGTTTTCGGTGGAGGTGTAGCTATTGTTGGTGGGTCCCAGCGCCTCGTCCATGGGGTCCTCCCAGTGAACGAGGCCATAGAAACGCACAACCACGTCGCAGGCCTGCGAGAATCAGGTGGAGCGGTCAAAGGGAGGGTGTCTCCCGTGAGCCTCCGCCACGTGTAGTGATGGCCGCGGTATCCAAACTCACCTCGCACTTGGACTCCTGTGCCACAAACTTTGCGAGTGCCAGTTTCTCCATGGTGGCATCTGTGAGGATACTGGGGTACGGCGGCTCCCGGCACCCTTTGATCATGGCTGACTTCAAGGAGACCAGGAAGAACCTGAGAGGGAGACAGAGATCTCTGATGAGGCTGGGGCAAACAGCCCCTCATCTCCCTCACGTGCTCTGATGCTGAAGGGGCTTCCCTTCAATGTGGGCCTCTGGTCTGGAAGACCAGAGGGTCTCAAAATCAAGCTACAGACCAAAGGTGACGGGAGTTGCCAAGTCTGAGCTCCAGGAAGGAGACGGCGAGACTGCGAGATGGACACCCATCCCAACACAGATCCCAGTATGACCATCCAGGCCCTAATGAGGTCACCTCCCTGAGCTGACAACATGCAGAGACCCAGGACGTGCCTTGAAACTCAAGACCTTATCCCTACTCATCCCAAATGACACAAAGGACACATAGTCTGCATTGCACAGAGCCCCGAGGCTGTCAGCCCGAGGGACAGAGTGACTGCTGTGTATATCCAGGGAAGATACTTTGGACTTATCCATGCTCAAGGCATTTCCAGCTGCCTGCAGGGTTTAGCCAGTGGCATCAAACCAAACCCCCACTGGTGGCAGGACTTGGTTCTGAAGAGCTGTCACTGGAGTCTCTTGCACTCCCCAAGTCACTCTGGGAGTCCAAGGTGCTGGCCAGAAGTCCCGCACCCCAGGAGGAAAGTGCCACGATTTGCCGCCCGGTCCCTGCTTACTCGGTGAGAGCCACGTCCGCGGTGTCCAGCAGGAACTGCTTCCTCCGATTGGTGCACACCAGAGTCACCGTTTGCTGATCCAGCCCAACCTGTGCCACATAGGGTAGTTAAGGAAGCTGGTAGTTAAGAAAACCAGGTGGGGGACGAGGGGTGGCGAAGCAGGGCTGAAAACCTGGCTTCTGGCCCAGGAGGAGAAGGTCAGTGGTCGTTCTGCTGCCCATGTGAAGATACAAGTAAGCTGGGCACCTGCAGAAGTGGCATTTGAGGGGGGATCACTTCTAACTCTCCTAGTCTCAAAGATTCAATGGCCAAACTGCTCCCTGTGGACAGAGCGCCCCACAAAAACACCCCACCATGATGCTCCTGACACCCCTGCAGCTGGAGGGGTGAGGGCCAACCCCCAAACTCACCTCCTGCTCTGCCCAGGAGGGCTGACCTGACCCGGGCTGCACTCACCGAAATGTAGTCCAGCTCATTATAGGAAACTGCCTCCTCCACCATGTATGGCTTCTCCGCTGCCCCTGGGCACAGACACAAAGAGCCACATGAAGGGTGGCAAAGGACCCCAGCGCTGCCCAGATCCAGGCTGCTGCACAGCAGCAGCGACAGACCTGCAAACCATGCCGTGTCCTAAGCAGCACGGAGCTGCGGGGCACATGTCCCAGGGCTTCTTGGGGGACAAGTCAACCTGACCTCCCTACTGTGACTGCCACCTCTCCAGGGGACACAAGGGAACTGGGAGGAACTGGCAGTGAAGTTAGTGAGCTATGGTGCCCTGATTTATGGAAAAGCCACTGATCAAGCAAGCCTCCCTCCCTGCAGCTGAGTTTAGAGGCTGTCGGGATGGGATACCTTTCCGGATCAGGTACACGTAGCAATCCGTCAGCAGGACATAGATCAGCTGCAGGTTCCCCTCCATGTGCCCGGTGCTCATTCGGATCATCTGTGCGGAGAGAAAAGAGCTCAGCCCGTGGCTGATGCAGGCACAGAGCTGGTCCTTTGTGGGAGATCGATGGTGACCACCTTACCCTGAACAACTGCTCCTCGTTCTCCCGAAAGACGTGGATCATCAGCAGGAGGAGATGGTTGTTATCCACCCTGTGAAGAGAGACAGTAGAGGACGGACATAGATGCAGGGCTGGGTGAGTCCAGGAAGGGCAATCCCCTTCCTTATTGAACTTGTCCATGATTTGGGCACCTGTTGGCAGCCCAAGACCTTCTCCTCCTGACCCCTCGTGCCTCATCTTCATCCTGGAAAAGGATGATAGTCTTTGCCCCCCAAACTGAGGACAAAGAAAAAAGTGCCAGCTTGAGCTCAAGATGGTTTGGAAGGTGCTTTCCCTGCTGAGCAAACCGAGCCTCACCTGAACTCGGAGGGATGGGTCAGCTCCGAAGGGCTGCCCTGCCCTTCTTCCACACCAGAGTCCTCAGCGCTGCTTGGGGAAGGGCTGGGCTGCTCCTTCTTCGGCTCATGGAGAGCCTGGGGGTTGGCAGTTTCTGTCTGGTCAGTTTGGGGTTCATCACTCGCCCCTCCAGACTCCTCTACTGCCCCAACTGCTTCTCCCTCTCTGCTTTCTTCTTCTTCAGGAGCCTCAGGGCTACCAGAAACATGTGGCGGTTGGCCAGGCCCTGGAGTGTCATGGTGGCCACCACCTGGTGCAGCAGTGTTTGGACTCTCGACGGTAAATCGGTAGAAGTCCATGGGGGCTGAAATCCCCTCACTAAAGTCGCCAGAGGACGATCCATCTGGGGTCTCCCCTGGCATGCCAGTCCGAAAGGACTGCCCAGGAGGCTCGAGGGGGGCGTTCCAGCCGCTGGGATCCAGCTGCCCGTTGAGTCTGTCCATCACCTTGCTCAGCGGCTGCCCCACGCTCTCCATGGATGTGTCCTTCATCTCGGGGATGCGTAAAGCCAGCTGGCTGAGGGCAGAGCGCTCACGACCCTCCTCCTGCCCGCCTGGGCTTGGTTCACCAGCCGGGGCAGCGAGACCATCGTCTCTCTGCGGGTCTTCTCTGTCACTCAGCCCGTTCACGCCGCTGTCTCCACTGGCCTGCTGGGTTTCAGGCACTATGGGCGCAGGGGTGTTCACCGGCTCCTCAGGCTTTGCTTTCTTCTTCTTGCCTGTTTTCTTCTTCTTGGCTAACCTGCATGGTGAGAGACCAATAGAGATGTCACTCATCTGTGCCTGCTTAGACTTGCAGAGGGGTCTGCAACCCCCTAGAGAAGGGTCCCACCCTTTCCCAACAACCTTCCTTTGCAATTTTCCTATTGCGGAGAAATCCTTATATCAAGAACATCACTCAATGTGCGGCCACATAGAGTCCCCGTCTCCATGCCAGCTGTCACAAGACAAGCAGGGTATGGACACTGTTTCCTACCTATCCAAAAAAGAAAAGAGGCATCGGCTGCTGGATGCAGCATCTTGGGCTTCCTTTGGCTGCAAAGGGGATCACAAATGGATGTGGAGCTAAAGTGATGTGGGAGAAATCCCTGTCTGAGAGCAAGATGCCGGGAAGGGAGAAGGTTCCAAGAGGATGTGGGAATGCCATGTCCCCATCTGCCAGAAGAGGGAGATGCAGGCCGGAGCCCGCTCCAGCCAAACGGCACACCAGGATGCCGGCTCCGGAAGTGTTCAGGCCTCCTATGGCACCCAAACTGCTGCCAGGTCACACTTGTTTGGGAAGGGAGCGCAGTGCTCCTCTTCCCTCATGTCTGCTGGAGAGCTGGGTGTGACGTAACCCAGCTCCTCTACTCCTCCCAGGAAAAACAGGGCGCAAGAGTAAAGCACAGGCCTGCTGGGCTGGTTTTGGGGTGTCCCCCCTCCCCAGGTGTGAGCAGACGGAGCCTTGAGCTCTCTGTCTGGGTTAAGGGCTCCGAGGGACCCCTGGGGATCTCCTCTGCAAGGAGTCAAACACAGGCCAGCAGGTCTGCAGAGGCATCTCCCTCAACAGGTTTAGCCACAGCTCATTGACAAACAAGAGGAAGGACAGGAGAGAAGATGTGAGACCCAGAGTTGCTGCAAACCTGCCACCAGCTGGAGAAAGCTTCAAATAAAAGCTCACGGTTTCCTCTGAGCTCTCCGATACAGACTGTCAGGCAAAGTTGTTTATGTTGAGGCAGTCTATAGCACTACAGACCCAAGGGACCAGCTCTGTTGACACCTACAGAGCATCAGTTGGTGTCTGGGGGTATAAAACCACTCTCTCATGATTGTATAAAGGCTACACCACAGTTGGTGTCTCCATTGGGCTAGAAGGGGTGGCACATCATCAACCTCTGGTGACAGATGACACTCAGGAGCATGTTTCCAGGCCAGGCAGCTCTGTCCCTACCTGATGACCTCCAGCTCTGTGCAGCTCTCAGACTGATCTGTTCCTTCAGGGGTGGCTTCTGCCTTCTCCTGGGAAGCTGAGTGCACCGGCGTGGTCTCGGTGGAGGACGGCACATCGGCCTTCTCTTCATTGAAGGGGTTGTAGCGCTGTGTTGGGCTTTTCACGGAGGCCTTGCTGCCGTTGGCCTCCGAGGCAGTGGAGCGCGGGCAGCTGAGTGTGTCTGTGAGGTCTCCGTCTGCAAAGACAAGAAGGGAAGAGCGGGATTAACATCAGCTCAGGCACCTGGATCAAGTCAAATCAAGCAAAGCTGTGCGCTGGGGGCTCGGGGCACTACATGGTCACTGTACTGCTCGCAAGTGACACCACCCGGGCACCGGCAAAGCGCTGTCGGACCAGCTTAGCTTCAGAGATTGCTGCGGGCAGCAGGCTCTTTGCGAGGAGGGACAGAGAGGCCAGCACGTAACCCAGCATCGTTCTGCAGTTTGCTCCCACTGCAATTTAGATGATGCCTGGAAATAACAGCTTGGTCACCCAGGAGCCAGCAGCCAGATTAAGAAGTAGAGGTAGCGTCCTTGGGAAGGAACTTGAGGGGTCTTGGGGCCACAGTGCTCCTTAGCAAGATGACAGCGAGCTAACGAGGCTGCAGCCCCATACTGCTGCTTCTCCCCTGCGACTAGGTCTTAGGAAGATGCTCGCTTAGCTAGATGGGCAGAAACAGAGCCAGCCCGTAAAGCAGCAATCCTTACGGAGCCAGCTGCTTTTCTCTGCTTGCACGAGACACACATGGTGGGCTGGAAGTCTGGTGGAGGGGGGGACACAGCATTCATTGGGGGTCCAAGGACAGCAGGCTGCCCAGACAGGTCGTGGCACAACCGGCTTGGCCTGTGTTAGTCTTCAGAGGGAAAACAAGCAACGGAGAAGGGCTACAGGACTCATGCTCAGAGTTATCCGTCCACAAAGTCATGGTTAAAGGAAGGTTATCCATGCCCTTCTCTCCTCCAGCACCCTTCATTTTCAAAGCCAGCTAGAAACCTCTCGCGAGGCAGGGAGACCCCTTCTGAAGGAAACCACAACCCTGGCAGTCTGATTCAGGGGCGTAGGTTTTCAATAGGAAAATGAAACCTCTTATAAAAAAAAAAAAATCTAATAAAGGCAGTTTTGTGATGGCCGATTTCAAAATGCTGCTTTGTTCCTGCTGAAGCGCCTGCCCTGCAGCGTGGAGGGTGTGAACTCTATCAAGGGAAGTAAATCGGGTAGATTTTTAATGTCTACAATAAAGGGAAAATAAAATGTTTAAAAGCATTTCAGCCCCAGGCTTCTAGCCTGTATCACCAAAATGAACGTTGCTTCTTTTGCCTAAACCCAGCTGGTCCTGTTGAGACAAAACAATCTCTGTCCAAAATACAGAATTTTACCCCCAAATGCATTTGCTGAAAACAGGGAACTCTCCCAAATTTCTTAACCTCTTGCTCTGTGTACAAATGACAAGAAATGCATCAGTAAGCTAAGCTGGCGGGGGGGTTAGGATGAAAACTTTGCTACAGCTGAGGTTTGCTCAGCACACAGTAACCCAGCCCGGAGCACTGATGGATCACACCAGCACTGCTTTGCAACCAGGACCCGCACACAGGAGCCGTGCAAGTCTCCAAAAACAGAGGGATCTGCCCCAGCCTCCCGTGGCTTCTCCCAGCCTGCACCCAACACCCAAGGTTATGTTGCTTGGTGGGTGTTGGGTTTGGAAACTTGGTTTGTACCCTCTAGGTGTACGCTCAAGCTTTGGGGACACGTTAAATCATCTCTGTGAGCATCTCTGCATGTGGGGTAGAAAAGAAGATGAAAGGGAGCGTGTTAGAGCCCAAGAACAATCCACATGGAATTCAGGCAGAATTTCCCCAAATATTCAGCTGCTACTGGCCAAGGCAGTTCAGACCCAAGGCTCCATCCAGCTTTCAGCTGCAAAGGACAGAATGTGGGTGTATTTCCTCCAGGGGTAAAGCAGAGAGGTCTCCTACTCCTGTGATGTGCAAAGGATATGCACAGGGACTGCATGTGGAGGAAGGAGAACAAGTTCCTCTACAATGGGCACATGCTTTTGACCATAAAGGCCAGACATAGCGGACAAGTTGGTTTTAAAAGTGGTAAAATAAAAAAGAAGCATAGTGACCCAAACTGAGCACAGCCATGTGCTGGATATTGTGGCTTCAAGAGAGATGTTTTGACAGAGGAGAGCAGGGTCCAAGGAAAACAAAACCTCCCAAATTAATCCCTGCAAAAGGCCAAAATTAAAGAAAGCAGAATTAATTCAGCTGTCTTCCAGGGCTTTCAGGAAATCAATGAAGGTGGATCAGTTTTTCAATCAGCACCCTGTGTGCTTCACCCCAAAGAGGAAATCTACAGTGTAAGGTCAGCTGGCATGTTCAGGCTCATTTTGGACAGCTGCTGATCCCTGCCTGCCAGCTTCACGGTGGGGGCAATTTTGCAGCTTTTCTTTTGTAACCTGGTATAAAGGCTCCTTTATCAACACAGGCCGTAACATATCGAGCAGCCACAGAACAGCACTTGGAACTCCAGCCTCACATCTGCTATGCCAAGCGCTGGGGCAGACACATTTAGGAGACATGAATGCATCGTCAGAGGCAGGAAAACATCCCTCCCCTCCAGGATATACAGCCAGGTGAGTGTGCCTGCATACACCAGGAGTTGGGGAAAGCTTTGCATGTGGTCTCACAGATGAGACACACAACCTCCCACCTTGGGGGATATCTTTTCTCCTCCTTTCTGTCTCTACCGAATTCCATCACGATGTAGTGGTTGCTTGTTAAAGAAATGAACTGGGAAGCATGCAGCAAGCTTCAGGTGGCAGCAATGCAGAGAGAAAAACAAAATGTTGTAACAGATGAGTATGTCCCACCTTCCCAGTCTCTGCTGGGCATGGTCTGCATTGCTGGAAAGACATCTCCAAAATCATAATCTACAAAAACGAGGGATAAAACTCAGGATTAGAAATACAAGTAGTGGGGAGGGAGGGGGGACAGGGGAGAGTGTGAAGGGGGTTTGGGGAGGGATATGGGAAAGGAGAGAAACAAAACAGTCTTCCACTGGTATCTGAAACGCATGAGAAAATAGTTAGGGAACATGGATGCAAATGGAAACCAGCTGCACTAACGGTTGTTCCTGCTGGATGTTTGTGTTATGGGAGCTACAACGGGACCAGCGAAGGATGGAGGCCCCATTATGCAAGCTGATGGAAAGCTAAAACAGAAAAACAGTCGGTGGCATGTACCTAATCAGGGATCCCCTTTGTGAACGAATTTAGTCACTCTGTGCCTCAGCTTCCCCACGTCACACTTACCTCCCATAGATACTGTGATGTTTGGCTCATTAATGTTTGCAAAGCCAGGGGTCTGATTAAAGGAAAAAACTTGTCCTCTGATCCTAAAATCCCCAGCTCCACCTACACTCCCAGGGTAGCGAGATGCTCCTGTTGAAATGACGAGCAGTGAAATAGTTATTGAAGTTAAATTCCTCCACGCCAGAGGAACAGCGACAATGCCTGCCCTCCTGGGCTCCACCTTCACCATCCTGGTCCCGCAACAGGGGACGGCATTTCTACATCAGCACCAAACCCCTCTATGCATGGGGAAACTGAGACACAGATCACAACTGCTGTCCGGACACATGGAATAGCTTGCGACGATACCAAAACCAAAACCTAGCTCCAAAATCTCCTGGATCTCTACTCCAAACCCCTCTTCTCTTGAGCATTAAGCTTCCATCCACCAGTTGGGCCGGAGAGCGTAGCCAAACCCAAGTGACCCCTCTTGCCCAGTCAATAGGGACAGGCAGGAGATGTGCTGCCAGCAAGACGTGTTCTGCTGAGGGAGGAACAGGAATACAAGCCCAGGGGGTGCAGCAAGTACTGAAACGGCTGCTTATGCCAAACGTCTGGGGACAGAGAAGCTTCTTCCTGTGACTTTTATTGCTAGGCTTCTCATGCTGTCTCCAACTTACCTGGGATGCTGGAGGTTTGGCATAGACCCCGAAAGCAAACCCTTTCACACTTACAGCATGAGTGCAGATGCTGCAGGTGAGACCAAAACGGTGCTGTGCTTTGCTGAAATGATGCTAACGCCCATCCCAGGCTGTTCCTCCTCAGTATCTTTAATGTCTGCAGTTTCTATCTTGCATATAAAAGGCAACTGGTCGACCCTTGTCTCAGAGGGAACCCATCTGTACGTGGACTCGGTCCTGAATTCACTGCATCCAATTAACGGCATGCATCACCCCATCTATTCCAGAATCTCCTGATCTTGTTTTGTTCAAACTGACATCAAAAAAGGAACAGGGCCAACATATTTTGGATTAGGAACAGCAGCAGCAGAGCTGCTCCTTCATGTGAACATGCTTTGTGCTGGATAAGAGCTCCCCGCTCCAGCCTAAAGTGGGTTATGGGGGCAGGCACAAGGTACGTGTCTTCTCAGTTCATCAGGAACAACATCCAGCCCTCTCTGATAGGGGTAAGGGGGCGAGTATGACAACTTATCAGGCTGCTCAAGTTCAGATGCACAAAGATGAAAAAACAGCACATCTGAGACCACCGGCTGCCTCTCCCTCAGACTGCAGACATGGAGAAAAGACTCTGGAAACTGTTCCCCACCACCTCCAGCATACGTGGGTCTCTGAACTGCAAAATAAGCAGTTAAAAAAGGTCCTCTGCAGTGCTGCGTACCTGCTCTGAGCTGGAAGCCACATTCAGATATGGGCACGGCTTTCACTCCATGGGGAGATTTCTCCAGTTCTTGCTAAAACACACCCCCCAGGATGGAAATGTGGCCTCAGGTAACCAGCAGGGAAAGTCCTTCCCTCCCAGTCCAAGGCGAGGGGGCTGTCCACAGCTTAAATCCCAGCAGCTCCCAAGGCAAGACAGCAGAGACTCACAGCCTAACTGCTGGGTCTCTTACTTTGGTCTTTTCCAGCCCATCATTTGCTACCTCATTTGGCGCCTCGTCCGCTCCAGCAGCTCAGACGAAGGGGATGTGGGAACACACAGCCCTGACCGCACCCATCTCCAAAAAACCACTGACCTTCACTGGATGGAGCGATGGCGCTGTCATCCCATTCCAGGTTGGTGGAAGTGACCGAGTTGAAGGAGTTGAGCGACAGGCTGTCTGAGCCATGCACAGAGCTGGGCAGGCGGTCCTCAAAGTCTAGCAGGTACTGAGGTTTGTAGTAGTCTGGCATGTACGGGGCCAGATCCAGGTAAGGAGCATCCTGCAGAGAAGAGAGCATGGGGTGAGTCAGGCTCCGAGTCACTGCACACAGTTATTAGCACAGTCGAAACGATGGGACTGTCCTTGAATGTCCTCTGACTGTCCATTTCTGCCACCTTTCAGAGGAAACCCAGCGGCTCCACTGCGACACCGAGGGTTAGCGAGTGGCTTTGTGTTTACCTGGAGGGATGCCAGCATTTTGTACCACACTTGCAGAGCTCAGCTCCTTTATCCCCATCAGTCTGCCCTGCAGCTGGCTTCCCCACACCTGCCTCCTTCCTCTTCTGAACAGTGCAGAGGAATAACTGAGCAATAGGAATAAATCCCATTGCTGGGTCTCCAAAGACCCTAGCCTAAAGCCTTTCCTAAAAGTGGTAGCTTCACATTTTCAGCTGAACAAGAGGAAGACCAACAAGAAGGTACACTCTGGACCAAGCAGTGGGACCTCTGACACCCAGGACTCCCCCTGCTCCACATACCCACGCTCCCAGAGCTGAGAGAAACAGATAAAACACTCACTAGATCCAAGTCAAAGCGGATGAACTCCAGCCCAGACACCAGTGTTAAGAACAAGGTCAGATGATCGTGACTGCAAACTAGGGCGTTCCTGCAGCATGGATAAAACAGAAGAGCTTTAGAGATGTGGGAAAGAAAAGAAACAGCTACAAGCACCCTCTGTTTTCTTGGTGGCGTGTCTCTGAGCTGCCGTATAAATGGCCCCAGAGCTGTGAGCCTGCTGTTTACCTCCTAAGAGCAATGGCAGACCTTAAGGGCAGATATGTGTGGCTCAGAGCAGCCGGGCATCCCCTACGTGCTATCCACAAACTGACCTACAGCCACATCTCCAGGTGTCCACCAGAGCTGGGTCCCTGGACAAGAGCTGAGCAGCTTCTTGAAAAACATGGAAGAATATAAAGGCTACCTCTGGGACTGAGAGTAAAAGCAGTAACTAGGGGAGATGCTTGCAGGCCCTCTTATATATGACTGCGTCCACATCTGGGACCTTTAAATGAATCATGTAAAACCTCTGCAAAACCCACAAGGAAAAATCAGAGCCTGATCAACTGTTCCCCACTGGCAAATTAGGGCTGGCTTCTGACAAGAAGGGATGCCAACCAGTGCCCAAACGAGAAGGAGCTGGGGTACTCACTTGACATAGTACTTGTGCAGCAGGCTTAGATTCTCCTGGAACAGCCTCAAATAGCTCTCCAAGGAATTTTCATTGAGGGCTAGGTACAGCCATGCCCGGCCTGAAAATAAAGCAGCAGAGAGATTTATCTGTGGGGAAATATCTGAGAAGTGAAGCAAGGCTAGAAATAAACACAAATCAGTTAAAACACATCAGATTGTTCATTCACGTTTGTATCATTTCAAGGGAGCAACCGACCGTTGGGGAAATCTGGAAGGAAAAATGCCAGCAGGAGATGAAGAGGCAGATTCACGATTTGGAGTGGGAATGGGAATGAGACTGCATGATAGCAGGTTGAGAAGCAGGCACATAACTGTGTCTCTCTAGTGAGATGCGAGCCCTGCTAGCATTTCCAGCAGGGATCAGAAGACAGGAAAGATGGAGGGACAATCGCTGTAAATCAGCACAGGTGCAATTTGAGATATTACACAAATTCCAGTGCAGAGAGAGGTGATGGTGCAGTCTGTGCTCAGCTCCACTCTCACCAGTACAGGGCTTGGGAGATGAAGGGTGTTGGGATAATCAGGCAGAAAGGAGGTCTCTGGGCACCATCCTGCGTCAAAAACGGCCTTGATGGTCCCAAACATCTTCTACAGACAACTCGCAGCAGGGGAGAAGCAGCATCGGGCAAATGACAGCTACAGTGACACGTTCTGGGGTGAGAGAGGTGATGCCTCCCATCTGCCAGAAACCTCTCCCAAGAGCACAGCCCAGCAGATCGCTTTGGTTTCACAGCAGCAGAAGCAGGCCTATGTCTCTGACCCCAACACCTGATCCTGAGGCACGATGCAATTATTTCTAGAGCCATCATGCCAGGACTCCCACCTCCTTGGCCAAGACAAGCTGGATTCAGCGGGGAGCTGCCCGCTGGTTCCCTCAATCTGCCTGCAGCCCCAGCCCTTGAACATACGGCCAGCACAACCTTCCTGGGCTTCCCGCCAGATGTTCCCAAACCGAGGTTTGCCCTAATAGCCGGGGCAGCATCTGCAAATACTCACTGCGTCCCAAGTTGGTGGCCACGTGTTGAAGCACTTCTATCTGTTTGATGGCTTCCCGGCGGGTGAAGTGAACGACCAGCACCCAGTAACCTGAGGAAAGATCTTGCAGGCTGGAAGAAGAAAGAAGGCCAGAGGAAGGTTAAGCAAAGGCTTTGTTATCTCCATCCCAGTTACTGCCTAGATGGCTTCCCCATGCTGAGCCTACATGTTAGGCAAAGCACAGTGAAAAGCATCCCAGCGGCAGGCTCCATGCTTACCCATATAGCAGAGCATGGTCCAGATGTTCACAGAGCCGCTGCAGGACCTTGTCATGGTTTCTGATGGCCGGCGTCTCGTCTTCACAGGCAGCAAAGTAGCTCTGCAGCTGCAAAAAGAAGAGATGGGATGGCTGAAACTCCGTTCTACAGCCCACTGAGGAGGCAGATGGAGATGCCAACACTCACAGCCAGCATTAAATAGCTTTTTTTAATCTCTCAGCTTGCTAGACCTTGATGCAGGTTACTTACAGGGTGTAGCAATTGATTTCAAGTTACTGCCCTAAAGGCAGTAACTCATAGGGAGAACCTCACCCACAAAGATTTGTGCACTTTTCAGAGACATACCAGCAGTGTGGCTGCGGCTGCACAACCAACTGCCCTGTTTGCTGAGCAGGTGGGCTGAGCTGCACAGCCTCCTCCTTTACAGCCAACATTACAGTGGGGTTTTGGTGGTTCCTCTGCAGCGGTGCAGCCATCGCAAAGCCATTCAGAACAGAAATAAATCAGAGCTCTGGGCTCCGTTTCTGGCTCTGCCATGGACAAGTCCCCTCCTCAGTCTCAGGGTCTTGCCATGGGAAACCCTGGTTGGCGAGAGACATTGCTTCCAGGTATAAAAGATGATCTGAGTCCAGGAGCTTCATTCTTGCAGCACGTGTGCTCTGTGCTAAATCTGTGTGAAATCTCAGCACAGTTTCAGCATTCTGGGAAGGGACAGAGGTTTTCTTGTTACAGGCAGCTCGAGTAACCACCATGATGCTGGGTATTGATGCCAGGCAGCCGAGAACTGCCCCAGACTTTCAAACACAGGCTGGTAAGGATTGCCTGGCCACACAGCAGCAGGGACTTGGAGGGTGCAGAGGGCAGCCGGCAGCGCAGATAGGGATGGAGGCACGTGCATATGAGAGAAAGGCAGTTCAATTAATCTCCAAGTTGTTTGCCTCCTCGGCATGGGGGAGGCTACATCACTACAATGTGTCACTTCATGTAGCTGCCCCTTTCTCAAAGACCTGGACAGCTTGACTCATCCTCGGTTAACCCATTCACAGCCGCAAAGTTAGCTCTGAAGACAGCGCTGGCCCTGTGCTCTGCTGACAGCAGCCCTCGGAGGCTCGACACAGCATAAATTGCTTTTCTGCTTCTGCAAAACCTGCTAGAAATCCTAGAAATCCCCAACCACCCAAATCCTATATCCCTTCCCAGCTGACCCACCAGCCTCCTCCTGCCCCTGGAGCTTACAGATCTATTTAGGTCCCCGTCTCACACATACTTGGCATTCAGGCAGGGAGATTACTCACCCAGGATGTAATCTCAGCTGTATATGCCACATTTATTTGCTCTGGCTGGTGACAAGCAAGCACAATTCAGCTGAGCTACAACAACGCATCACCTGTACGTACGTTATTTTGGTGACACAATAAGTCTTTGGCAAACCTCACCAGTTAGACGGTAGATTTAAAAGACAAAAACTTGACAGCATTGTGCTTGTTGAGTCTGACCTCTTCCCAGAAACTGGTTTCTCCTCCTGAATTATTACTAGAGCCAGAGAAGCTCCTTTAGAAAATCATCCAGTCTCAATGTAAAAGTTATCAAGGAGGACAGAGAACACCTCACAGCCCCTGGGGAACTGTTCCCAACAACCCTCTTAAAAATATGAATATATCTAGCTCCAACACCCTCCTGGCTTGAAGACCTTGACTCTCTCTGTAGCTCTTAGGTAAGACGGGAGAGCCAGGCATGTTCCTGCATGGAGCAGGTCCCAGCCCTTACGTGGGAACGAACTGCTGAGCCCGAAGAATCACAGCCAAATTCCCTCATCCGATCGCACAGCACAGCTCAGCCAGTCCCTGTCCTGTCTAGTTGAGAAGGTAAATCCCCTGGGGAAGGAAATACGCAATAAGGTTTTGTTTGCAGAGCCACCCGTGGATGCTCCAGCGACACGCAGACTTTTTCATGACACCCAGGTGAGACCCGAAGTGTTTCAGCTCAGCAGCTCTTACCCATTTTTGGGAGGAAGCTGTCTCAGAAGATCTACCCTATTAATAGGCAGCCCAGACCCAAGCAAGGAGAAGAATGCCCTAAAATCCAATATTCAAGAACTATTTCAGGAGCTACCTGCAGCCAGTGTTTTAAGCTTACTCCTGCAGTGAGGACACTAGAGGAAGAAACAAAGTCATAATTTAGAGCTGTAACCCTCTAGCAATAGACAGAGGAGACACAGAGGTTGCTCTCCAAGAGCTGTCTGGAGCTCACTAAAATATCCGGTTTTGGGGGAAACTGAGGCAGGAATCAAAGCCCCTGCCATATGGGACACAAGCCAGGATTTGAAGGCAGAAGTTCCCGGCTTGTCCCAAGCAGGCTGTTGCCTCTGCAGAGAGCTGGGGTACCCTCGGAGGAGGGTTCCTATCCTGGGTGTTTCTGCAGGCTCTGTGCTGGCTTGAGAAAATGCAGCTGTGGGGGACAGCTAGGGGAAAACAAAAATAACCAGGCCCTACATTAGCTTACCACTAAAACCAAGGAGCCACTCAGCCAGCTCTGCACACACTGCTCAGGGAGGTCATCTTGGAGGGAACTTGGAGCCTGTCTGTGCCACTGACTGGAAGAATTCCCCATGACAGAGAGACTCCAAGCCTGGGCAGCGAAAGAGATGAGCAAATAGAAGCATTTCCTCTTTTTTCTTTCCTTCCTTCTTCAAAAATAACTTGGATCTTTGTTACTGTCCTTCCTGCAGCCAGTTCACAGCTCCTAACGCTCTCTGTTGCTACACGGACCAACCTGCTCCCCTCATCAGAGAATACAAACTGTTAGCAAACAGTGGTTGTCTCATCTCAACATCTCCGAACATGGAGAAGCACCAGGGAAGTTCTGAAAAACAGATTTCTCTTCCCTAGAAAAGCCAAATCTTGCCCCTATGAAGGCATCTAGGTTTTGAAGGACTCTTCCTGTGTTGTATTAAAGCTTGGTCTTACTTTTAGCTGCTCTGCAAGGAGCATGCAGCCTCCTGCTCTGTGCAAACCAGCTTCCCCTGCATTGCAGCCTCTTCCTGGGGAGGCGGCTGGAAAACCCAGGCCCATAGCAATGTCCAGAGCAAACCTACCCCAAAAGGCTCAAGTTTGCCCCTCTGCAACATCAGGAGCCAGAGGATGAGCTGGTGTGACTGTGCTTTGCTCAGAGTCATGGGGTCACGCCAGCCCTGTGCACGTGGGACCCTGCGAGCAGGAAACACGCACTCAGCAGTTTTGGATTTGGATTCGGGCACTCCGAGTCACGGCATTTTAGGAGCTGTCAGTCACAGGGAGGCGTGCCAAGAACTCGCTCCTACCCGCATGGACAAAGATGTGCCACCATGTTCCCTGTATGGTGCTGCATCAAGGGACGATGCCTTTTCCAGCATCCCTCCAAAATAAACACGGCCAATGGCTTACAGTCTCAAGCGAAGGACGTCCACAGCTTGCTGGAGCACAACAAGCCCCAAAAAGAGATGGGCCAGGTGAATCCCTGCCGAACTACCACGTGTCCAGGGAGGAAACAAGACCGAACAAGCCTCAGGATCTCCTGGATGGAGTCATCCCTACAGCGAGGCTGGGGAAAGGCTGAGATTTGCAAAAGCTGATGGGAAGGCATTTCTAGTTTGAGAAGAAAGGTGAAGACGCACAAGGAGGAAAGGTATGGTGAAATAGCTTTTTCAGTTGGGGAACAAAATCCAGTTGCATTGTTTCCCAAAACAGGCCCACTTGTTCCAAGATCCACCTAGCTGGAAATCTGTAGGAATTACGACCACAAGCATCCTGGGGCAGAGGCACAGACTATGGACGGTCCCAGCATCTGACCCTGACCGTGCTGCACAGGCAGAAGTGATGTGGCACTGCCCTGAAAAAACAGCATTTATACAGAGTGTTTACCTCTCTCCTGTAAATTGCTATAAAACACAAACGAATAATTTGAAACCAACCTCTCCCTAATCACAGTGTGGTAGACAGACCTGTTTGGGAGGTGGTGACCAAACTTTATGAAGCATCCACAAAGCAGCTCCCTGACATACCTGGGCAGTGAGCCGGGCTGGAGCCAGGGAAAATCAGGAAGGAGGCAAGCAATAAGTTTAAAAAGCATAACTGAATGCGACACTGCTCATCCCCGGGTTTTCTGGAGACATGCTCTTCCCCTCGTCTCCTCTGTGCTCCGAAACCAGAAGGAAGGGTTGAGGCTGGCTTGGATGGAGGACTTGTGTGGGGCACGGTGAATGCCTCAAGCCCTGACCCTGGGCTATTTATAGACATTCCTGCGGCCAAAATAAGCACCGTCAGCATGCAGAAGGCATCCCCGCCATTCACCGACACCACTCTGCAGCTCCAACTGGGTCTGAGCACCGGTGTTGCAACAGTGTAGGACAAAACCTGCTTTGGTGAACTGGTTACAAAAGCTCCTGCGGAGTCCAAACACTTGAGGCTGTCGAGTTAAACACACTTGAGAAGAAAGCAGAGCAGAAGGGCGTTTATCCAAAGGGAACAGAGAGCTGGTTTGCACGGTGGGGGGAGGGGGAAAGACGGGGTTTGCACCCCTAACAATCGCACCTCATCCCCACTGAGGAGAAGGTGGATTTAATTGCCATTTATCAATCACAAGTTGATTTTTTTCTTTGCAGTGATACACCACACCCCACGCTGGCATGCATGAGAAAGGCTATTCCTTGCACAATTTTATAACCTACTAATTGCAGCGGTTCTCAGAGAGTGTGAAGCTCTCCCGGCCCATTTGCAAAGCTGCTGTGTTGCAAGGGATGCCAACAAACAGTCACTGGGGAGGCATGCTGTAAAGTCCATTCTCCAAATCTAATCACTCTTGTGGTGCTCCTTTGAAAGCTCTCCAGTATTTCTAAAACTTCACTGAAATACAGTCTCCTGACCTGTTTGCAGCTGGCCACAACCCAATCGAGTCTCCATCTCCCCTCCATAAATCTGGTCTGCAGATGTTTGACAAGCAGCTTTCTGACACCAAGTTCATTTCTCTTGTTCTGCTTGGTATTTCCCTGGCAGGGCAAACATGGTGAAAGAAAAGCAAACAGCCCAGTTGGGCATCCTTTGCATTCCTCCAGCTCCCTAACCACGGTGCTCGCTGTATGGGAAAGGCAAAAGGCGCTTCAAAACCTGCTTTCCCACCCACAGCACATGGACTGGCAAGGGGTTTTCCCCAGCTGCAGGAATGCAAACAAAAGCAGTACCACAAAGCAGCAAGCGGAGAGCCAAAACGTAACAGAAACTGCAGCAGCCTTTTTTCTGCCTAAATTCCTGTCCTCTCACCATCTTCCCCAGCAGCTGGAAAGACACCTTCTCCAAGCTATCAGGTAGGTGGTTTTCTTTGAGGGCAGTATTTCGTGAGCCATCCAGGCAGGCAGCTGGAGATGCAAACTCTTTGCTAGACCCAAAACCCTTCCCAAGCCTGCTCCCAGCACTTGCTTTTCTACCACGCTGCACGACTGGACAAGGATGGTGGCACATTATCTACCAGACTGCACAGCCAGAATAACCTTCTGCAGCAAGAGCAAACCCACATGGTTTCCTGCGAATGCAGCCTGCAAAGCTGTCTAACAACGTGATTTAAAAAAATGCTGATTAAGAAGCCAGCTCTGGGTCTTGGCACTCAGTCTGGGGCTGCACCCGCAGCTGAGCACCCTCAGGAGCAAGCCTGGAGCTCCAGGGAGCACCAAAAAGAGGTGGCAGGAGACTGACCTTGTCCCATGCAGGCGATGACAGTTCAATCCCAAGGAAAGAGGCAAAGTGAAGGGACAGGACAGACACATAAGAAGATAAGAGAAGCAACCAGCACTCTCGTACCTGCTCAGGGGAGTACAGACATTCGATGGCAAATGGATAAAGAGGAGGCTGAACTACTCTGCCTGGAAAACTCCTAGTCTTCCATACCACCCAAAAAAGCAGGCTGAATTTCAAGGCAGGGGTGTTATTCTCTCTTGTACACTTGTATAACACCAAGCCCTAAAACTTCAGCTCTAGTAGGACGTTTTGGAGGTTGCATACATGATCTGATGCAACATTTCTTACAACAAGCTTCCAAACCAGCACCAGACTCAGCGCCCAGCTTCCCATCCCAGACTCGGTATGCCTTGCCCGGGTTTTGTGGCTTTCACGATGAAATACATTGGCATGCTCAGAGCATCAGCATGTTGAAGGCACAAGTGACATTGGAGCAGCCTGGAGAGAAACAGAGCGTGCTTGTGATGCGCAGAGACAGGAGCCTGAAACAGGTGAAGCTGAAATCCATAGCAAAGATGCTCAGTGGCTGGAAACACAGAGCTTTGAAGCATTTGCAGTCCAGCACCAGCAACGTTGTCACCTCCTGGGACACGTACACTTATCAGCTCCCACAGCCCCAAGGCTTTTCCATGGCTTTTCTTCATTATTTCTAAGCAGCAAACTTTGCAGCAGGCTGGACCCACACATGGCTCAGCCAAGGACAGGATTTTTTCCAGCGGTGACGCTTGCTTGCAAGTCACAGGGAGCATCCTGTTCCTCTGTCATGGTGAGCAGAGAGCACGGAGCAGGGTACAAGCATGTGGCTCCTGTGGAACAGGATCCCTGTGCTAACTGAAGGCAGACAGAAAGGTCACATGCTCGGCACATCACAAAAAACAGATTTCATGGAAGAAAAAACAAGTCCAGTTGGTAAACACACCAAAAAACAAGTGAGCACGAGGTGCTTGTGCCCTGCAAGTCTTGGTAACAGTGCTGCTCTCCCAGATAGCTGCTGCTTACTCACACGCTGGGCATTTGCTGTTTTGAATTTCTCCCCGTAGACCAAGTCCTCTGGCCTGCAGTTATTTCAGTTACTCCTCTTGGACCAGGATATCAGAAGTGAGGAAAGCTGAAATCACTCAACAGCCGCTGAAATTGTGCAATTGGAGGCAGAGAGGCTCAGAGGCATTGCTTCTGCTCCTTGTACAAAACCCACTGCCAAAATTGAGCCTCCAAAACCAACTGCTCTCCCAGCGAAGTGCTTTGTGTTAGTGGTAGGACAAACGGGATTTTTTTCTCCCCAAAAGGCTATCATAGCCTTGTCCACCAGCAGATCCAGAGCTGATCTTGAGAAATGCCTCCCAAGGGTATAAAGAGACAAACATCAGTTTAGGTACCCGCAGAATCCAATCCTCTTGCAACTGTGGACAACAAACCTCGTATCATCACCAGACCTGTACCAGGATGAGGCAATAAGAATTTCCAAAAAGAGATAAACCTTGAAATACTCGGGCAACCCAAGAAATACACAGCTGCGCTCCCAGCAGAACCACAGCAAACAGCTTTGTTCGCTCGTCAAACAGTGGCAAAGCCCTTAGAGTACCACCAAAATACGCAGTGTGAGAGTTGCAAGCATTTGTAGACTTCTTAAAAGCACCTGAGTGACCTTGTGTCTTCAAGGCCAACTTATGAGCTCCGTGAGATTGCTGCTAGCTTCAGCCACAGGCTTCAGGCAGCTGGCAAACCTGGTACTCGCAGTAAAGGGGCATGCCAGGACTGTGCAGGGGAACAGCGTGAATGTACCGATGTCGATCCCTGCTGCGTGCCCCCTGCAGCAACAACGGATGTGGACTGGAGCAAACATGAGTGAGAGGAAATACCCTGGCAGAGATAAAAACCCCTGTGGTCTTAGCACCAGCGAGGTGTCCCTCAAAGGGAAGCAGAAGGCAAGGTTGCTATTTGGCTATTTTCACATCTCCAGAATTGCTATCTCTGTGTCACAGCAGCTGGGCTAAATAAATGTACCCAGCCAGAGATGAGCATGTTCCCTACCTGATTTGAGGAGGGATGCTCCACTCCAACGCTACCTGCTCCTCTCCAGGACATGGGGGCACAAAGCCATCCCCAAATCTACCCTTCCTCGCCATGCAGGAGAAGCAGAGGTGTTGCAAGCCAGAGTTCAGGAAGCCTGGGAGACTGCAAAGGCATTTCAATGGTACAGGGCTAAAAATCTGATCCCGAGACAGGCAGAAAAGGCACAGTATTAATTCACTATGGGGGAAGCGGAAACCTTCCCAAAGTCATGCATAAACAGAACAGAGCCAGAGCTTTTGGCAAGAACTCCTGCAACATCGGCAAAAAACGTTGCTCCACCTGATTGACATGCACCAAGGATCAGCTGCTCTAGAGTTCATGAGAATGTGTGTCCTTCAAAGCCGGTAGGAAAGCCTGAAAAACAGACAAGAGCCCCAAAATCTTGGATTCTGATCTCTTTTCTGATTTTAAGTTTAGCCCCTAGAATTGCCAACAATGAGCACTGTTTAAGGACTTTACATTTTCGCCACCTAATCACAAGCAAGACAGCAATAAATCTCTCCTTAACCCACTGCAATGTCCAGGAGGGCATGGAAATCCAACAAGAGGATACAAAACATCTACGCTACCCAGGACCAGGTCACCTGTGATAGCTTCTAGCTACCAGGAGAAGGTTGGCCAAGGATGGATATAAAGCCGTTGGCATTTCTAGCATGCCTGTCACGGCAAGAGTTCAACTGGGAGGCACCAGGAGGCAGCTCTCATCCCACTGCTGCCACGTGCAGTAATATCTCCTAGAGGAAAACAAGCACTTGACTGAACAAGGGTCTGCTCCCCACTGGGAGAGGATGCACAGAAAGCGGTGAATGCACACTAAGCCATAACATGCCCACCTCCAGCCTTCTGCCTCAATAAAGGCCAAATTCTTTAAAAAAAAAATAAGGGTTAGGCATCAATTTGCATAGTAATTTGTGCTGGAGCACAGCCCTCTTAGCAGAAAGCAGGGTGAGGGAGCACTGGATGGGAAAGGGGAGAAGAAACGGTCATAAGACAGAAGTAATGAGCTCCACACCATCACTGTGCAGAGAGCATCGTGCTCTGAATTAATTTACATCTCCCAGGGAGGACAGAGAGGACAAGCTGTAAATGGGAAATCAACACCATGCTCACAGTTCCTTTGGATCTGTGTTGGAATTGAAGTAAGGGCCCAACTCACTACTGCTGAGCTCTCCCAACTTCTCCTGAAGCCACCAAGAGCAGCAGCCTCTTGACATTGCTCCAGCTGGAGGGGACAATTTACTGGGTGTCTAAATTAGATGTTCTGTCTCTCTCTGCAGTTGAGGTCTGATCTCACACCTCTGCAGCCAATAGCAAAGTTCCTGCTGATCTCCGAGATGTGGGTGAGGAACGTGAATAGGGCAGATCCGGCAGTTGGGTATCACACAGAGAAACCCACAGGTTTATAATTACCCTTTCCAAGCAGGTTTGCATCTCTGCCTTTTCTAGCTGTGCTCTGTCCCTCATATATTCCTAGGAAAATAAGATAAAACCAGTCCTGTTCACTGAGGCTTGAGGAATTTGCTTGGAATTGAAGCACTTTTTTTGCTGTCAATTTGTACAGAACTTACTGCTTGTGCTCTGACCTCCTACTCCTGAAATTCAGAAGCACCCTGGAGAAACTGAAGTCACAGCCAGGTAGAGTCCCAGCCACAGGTCTCTGTGGCACAAACCCTGCCCAGGGCTGTGCTGCTGCTCGCTGCCTTCCCCATCTGAGGCAGAGGGAAGCTGACGAGCATCCAGATGGTTTTCCCTAGGCTACTCAGTGAAAATAAGGTATTTTTTCTGCTGCTGGTACTCAAAGCCTGACATCATAACCAAGTACCTCAGCCTTCAGTGGTGGTTTGTCCCAGTTTACCCAGTCTTGAGATGGGGTTTAGTCCTGGCTGTCTTCTAAAATAACATCTGACTTGCAGTCCACTCACTGCTGAGAGTCCACAAACTCCTCTTTTGGTCTGAAGCAGAGAAAAGAAAACCTATCATCATCTGGCCAAAAAGCAGCGTGGAGAGGTGAGCACGCCACCACAAACACGTTCAAACCCTCTACAACTCAAACCTGTAGTGACGGTAGAAGTAAGGAGTAAGCAAACTATGCAGCAAAGAAGCTTTTGAAATCAGAGGCAAGACACGTGGAAAACTCCTCCACGTCCCATGACACAATCCCTGCAACGAGGAGTTAGCCAAGATGGACCCAGAGGTAGGGAGAGGAAGATGAACGAGAGCAGGATTTCCCAGCACGCAGCCAGGGCGTGGGAAGGGTGTACCTGCTCCCCGAACCTACCAGCTTACTCCTCCCCTAACGCAAAGAAAAAGAGAAAAATCAGGGACTTGAGCAGGGAAGCGTTGGGAAAACTTAGCAGCTCCATAGCTGAAGAGGACCGACATCCCCGAGGAAGGAGAACTGCATCCCGGGGGTAAAAAGCAGGGGTATGCCAGCATTGGGACTTTCACCATGGGGTTGAGTTTGGTTTCACTGGGACGGTATAAATAAGTCCGTCAGCCTGAAGTCTCACGTAGGTTCCTATGTTTCCCTGAGCTTTCTTGCTCTGAACAAGAAAGCAAAAGAGGCAGGATTGAAAAATCCCCAAATTCCTCTTTCCCGCTAGACCAAGACGGACAGAGACTGACGCAGATCAAGGCAAAGGTGTAGTTGATGAGTCCTGTTCAAGTATGATAACAATTAAAATAACCACCATGTTGATTTTATAGCATAACCAACAGGGATCCCTAAGGATTTTCTGAACGCAAATATATTATGTCCAATGAATCCTGTGTGGGAAATAGTACATCCTTATACATATGGGGAAACTGAGGCAGTAGCACTGCAGAGCATTGTAACAGAGCTTGGAGCAGGCTGAACATCCACTGATTTCCAGGTAGAGAAAGATTATCCTTAATTTTTAGAGGACAGAAAGGCGAGAGACCAGAGGACAGGGTCACCCATGGAAGAAAAGAGAAAGGCTGGGAGAGATTAGCACATCCATCCTATGTCCCAGAGGCAATGTCAGGCCATTCCTTCCTTAATAGTGCTGGGAATTCATGTGATGGTCTTTGTAAGACAAGTTTTTATGGATGAATCTGTGTCAGGACACATTGCAGATCACAGGAAAATTCCAATTCCATAAGACAGCAGAAACCCAACAACTGGAGAAATGTCAGCGCGTCCAGAAAGCCTCCTCTCCCCCAAAACTTGGGATGAAAACTGTAACAAGACTCCCTTTACCTCCTGAAACAGAGCTTGTGTTCTTTCTCAAACACAGCTGGAGCTCACATGTGGAGCAGGCAGGACATGTGGCCCAACCCAAAACTTCCAGCATGTCCTTACAACTCATGCCTGTGACCGCCCCAAACAGACTCCAGCGTCCTGGTCCCCTTCGTGCCAGCATGCAGACGCTCCCACCAAAGGGATGGACTTTAAGAAATGCTCTCACTAGCAGCAGATACTGAGGGGCAAGGAGAAACGAGGGGCAAGCAGAAGGACAAGGTGAGAGATGAGGTATGATGGGACATGTCTTCAGAGCCCTCGTTTTGAGGGCTCAGACCAGGGCATGGCCAACCCATGGCATACACCTGC